TGCTGCATAAGCAGCATCCCTAAGGCACATCAAACTGCTCTGCAGAGCACCCACAACTCTTGGTGGGTTTTCAACATACAGGTATTGGCTCTTGGTTCTTCTGCTCAAACTCTGGAGGTCTTCTACCATCTGGATCCTGGAAACAATTGGATAAGTGAGTCAGAGATTCAGCCAATCCATTCTCCCAAGCTGTTCTGGCTTAGAGGTGACAGTAACAGCCCAGCAAAACATCAATGCACCTCTTGTAAAAAGAGAAAACTTTAATCCTTGCAAGCAGCAGATCGCGCTCACCGAGGCAGCTGGATGGACAGCAGAACTGCACACAGAGCCTGCTCCCCAAAACACACTGATGTGAAATAAAAGAAATTCCAAACAGCCACGAGAAACTCCACTTCCATTCTGTGCAGTATTAACAGGCTTTGTAACTGCTGCAATGCGTTAATTGACTGAAAAAGGACACACAGTTCTGAGCAGTTAGTAAACCAGTACTTCTACATATACTTTCTTTTTGGACATGTGAAGTCCTGTTGAAGGTTAAAAAACCTACGAAAGCCACCCACAAAACCAGACAGACACTTAGATACAGCTTCCTCTCAATTTGTTTTATTTGGCAAAGTAGCAATTCAGACAGTTCACACAGCATTTATTCAAGCTCTTCAAATCTTCTGCATTTCAACTTGTCTCAGAGTTTTTACTTCAGAACCATTGCTCCATCATGGAGGAGTTTCCATTTTCCAATTCCTAAATGCTACTCCTGGATACTCCTTTCTGTCTGTGTACCTTGTTGACTATCACCAACCCCTTCAGTGGAATGGGTGCACTACTCCCAACAGCCTTGGTCCCTGAAGCCTTACACCTCCCAAAGTGGTTCTCCCCAAAAAGTTGTCACCAGGTCTCAGCTTTATCACCTCTTCCAAGTCAGGCTAGCTTATTACACTGTGTCCAGAGACAGGAATTTGGATACAGTTGAGCTCATATCTTTCATTTAACTGATTAAATTAGTGAGAAGATGTAAATAAAGCTGAACTCAAATTGAAAGATACAGTGACCAAAAGGTTGAACGTTAGCATGCATCAGTTAAGATATTTCACTTCAACACCAAGAACTAGATTCACAGTTGATTGTGGGTTAGTACAAATTTGTCAGACGCAAGTGGGTTTTTCTGAATTGTATTTTCTAAAATACACACTATATTAATTTCTTCGTAAGATTAATCTTGATAATGTGCTCCCAGGCTGCAGTCGGATCAGGAGGTGGTACATTAACTTCCAAACACCTAAATAAATTAAGTCATACATATCTTTTATAGAGGAATAGGATAGGGCTGACCTTCAAGAGGAAGGCTACTTAAAATGTTCCTTTTATTCATATTCAGAGGCCTTTGAATTTATGCTTTCAGGGATTAATCCTACCACAAAATCATTCCTCTTTCACCATAAAACGTCAAATTTTTTTTTGCTGCAGTGACCACAATGTGTTGTTTTAATGCAAGTTATTTATCTGTAATCCTTTCTACCATAAAAAATAGCCCCAGAAAATAATGGTAACATGCTGCTTACTCTTAATTCCTGGCTGCTCAAATGTGAGCAAGATGACTGAAGACACTTCCCCTCTTTCCCAAAGCAGCCCAGCTTACTGTACTGCTTCGCGATTTGCTGTTTTCATTTTACAGCACCAAAACAGAAAACTTAGGGCAGAAAAAAAGGTTTCTAGCCTTCCAACTACTCTTCTATATGAACATTGACCAAGTGCAGCTATCTGTACTTAGAAGCCCAGGATTCTTTCTGCATGTGCGGTGTTTTCCCTGTATAGCAATTGAGAATTCACTTTTTAAAAAGTGAGATTTTTTTCCTGGGCGCCCACAGCTAGAAAAATGAGAATGTTAATACAGCAAATGGCTTTGCCAAAAGCAACTTTCTTTTGGAACCAAACTGGATTTAAGTAAAGAATCTAGCCATTCAGATCTCAGTAGTCTGCTCCAGGATGGTCCCAATCTTCCACATAAGCACACGACCTTCCTTTTGCTTTTTAAGGCAAAGCAGCATTGCATAAACTGTTCAGTGACTGGGACACAGCTTACATCATATTTACAGAGTTCAATCCATGTGTATCACACCAGTAGTGAGTTATAAACCAAAAGGGAATTTCGAGTGTCCAAAATTAATTTTAGAAGGAAAGAGAAAACCATGTCTGTTACGTCCAACTTGAACAGCAATGCTGGCCAGGATCGGCCACCCACCTCTGATGTCTTGAAGTTTAATATATACAAACGCCTGGTTTTAAGGTAATAAAGCAGCTGATTGTATCTACTACATGCTAGTCTATGACACCATGTCAAAAGCTTAAAAAGGAAGTTCATCTCCTTTTAGTAGCATCTAGCAGACATTGGAACACAGAAAACCTGGTATTACCTACGTAGTGTCGTAAGGTGCACAGAAGCAGTTTTACCAAGGGACACAGTAGCCGAGAGAAGTGAGTGTTCAAGTACCCCCATCAAAATTAGAGTTCACAAGCTATAGGTCTTCATCTGCAGTTCTGCAGAAATTCACTTTGAACAGATGAAAGTGAAATAAAGGCATGTTAAATAAAACAGTGCCCACATAAAACTTTCCACCATTTCTTTATCAGATTTGCCTTGAGCATCTAAAAAAATAAAACAAACACCACGCTTTTCCATGCTGATAACAACAGTATAACGAAGTCCAAAACAAGCTGCAATGCTGTTGGTTTTCAAAAAGCTTTTAGAACTGGAGATGAGCAGTCCACTGTAACACTATGTTTGGGTCAAGATGATGTAGCTTTTACAATTCATCCCTGTAGAAAGAAAACACATGCAGTTATGTTTCTCCTCCCCTTGGAAATCATATCTGAAAAGCTTTGATACTGAATCAGATTACATTTAAGTGCTCATGCACATCAGCAAAACTTCAGAGATCTCATCAAGCATTTAAGGAAAAAAAAAATCAGCAAAGGAAAGGCAACAGCAATCCCATATCATCTGTACCATCTCATACTGTTACGTGATTTATTGTGAAATATGGGTCCCTCTGTTTCACACTGAATGGATCACTTGCTTCAATGAACATCCCCCACGCCGCACAGCTAGTTACACAGCTACCTGTCATCCAAATTCTGCTGGCTGCACGCTGGCAAGAAGCTGAGCCAACTTACTAGACAGAGCATTGGCAAAACCCATCCTCTGTAGCTGCCAAAAAGGCAAGTTGAGCTCTAGCTGCTGTCTCTCAAGAAAGCTAGGAACACCATCTCGCATCCATGTCATGCAGTTTGTACCACTGAGCTTATTTATTTCACAGAGGAGCTCGATTAGCTCCTGAAGGAGCCATGATCAATCATGAGGAGGCTGTGGAAGGGGAGGGGGCAGGGCAGGGGGGGTGTGTTAAAAGGAGGTTCAGTTAGGAGAAAGGATGCATCCACAAGTCTCTCTAAATCACTATGAGGAATCTAGAAAACATTTTGTTCCTGCAGGACATGTAAAACACATTGAAACAGGAAACCCATGGAACCCATATTCCAGCCATAAAGTTACATACATCAGTGACTAGTTTAAAGATTTTTGAAGCATTAACTGTAATGCAGAATGTGCCCCCAGTCTGAAAGCTGTGCACTGTGCCACTATGATGACTGGAACATTCAAACACAAGTGTTTGCCTTTATTTTTTTCCACAAGGCACAAGCAATCTATAAATTCACAACGAGTTTGCTGCAATTTTTCTTCTAGTAGGTGCCTCACCCTCATTAGCTAAAGCGAACAGTGTCTGAATTAGGAAAAACTTCACTAATGTGATTGCTGGCTCAGTACATGGTAGTATTTCCAGCATGCAAACTAACCCACAAAAACATAGTTCTACATGCACACAAACAAAACCTTTAAAGTTACAAAGGCATCATTATTCTTCAGGAATCACATAGCATGGAATGGCAGCATGCAAAACATTTCAAAAGCAACTGAAAAGGCTGTTGAAACTAGTGCTTAAATGACTAGTTTTCTATCTAATGCATTTGGGATGCAAACCTTGTGATTTGTGAGTGATAAATATTTGCATTCTTTGCACTTTGCACTGCCTCCTAATAGTTAGGTACTAATGATACAATGATGCAGCTTCAGAGTGTTTAATTACAGAGCACGAGAAAAAAGCAGAAGGGGGAAGAACACATCTTGGCAGGGATAAAGAAAAAACTGTTTACAGCCAAAGGTTTGGAAGCTCTCCACATATGCCTATCTCACAGAATGGGTATTTGCTTACTTTAAACAGATAAAAATAAATGAACATCTGACACCCAGTGTGAAATGCAGCACCAGTGAATTCAGGACAAGTGCTTCATTCATCCTTCATGCTTCCAGGAGCTGCACCACCAGTTAATATTTACAACTTCAAAAAGCATATGCAAGTAATGACTACTGCTGCTGCTGGTTTAGCCTCATATGCCTAATTGTGGGTGTGATTTTCACCCTGATTCCTACCTATATTCTCACAGCTTTATAAAAACTGTGACAAGCAAATCTCAATCCTTCAAACCCAAGTTAGATCCTCAAGAGACTGCAAGCCTAAGAAAAACTACGTGCTTACTCTGAAACTATTTAAACAGGATAATTTTCCCCAGCCACAGATGCTGGCAAAGTTTTGCATAATGCTGCTAATGCACTTCATGTATTTGAAGTGTGGGTTTGGTTTTGCTTTCACAAAATGGTATTTGTACTTAAAATATATAATTCTTACATAAATATGTAATTTAAAATAAATGATACTAACATGCCACTGTTTTAATTGTTGGTATTTTGCATTGCTTTGACATATTCCTGACCTCATAATAATTGTTCCTGTAAGTTAAGAACATCCTAGATGTGACTTTCAAAATAAAGATGTTCATATTCTGCTTATTAGAACATTTACTGTATTAAGGGATCAGCTCCCCTCAAGAGATCTTTCATTTTTTCTTCACTACTCATGAATCTAACAACAGCATGCCTGCCCACAGCAATCCATGATATATGAGTTAATCCTACAGCATTGGTTTTCTACTGTTAGGAGAAGTTGAGCTTGTATGTGCACTACTGGGTTATGTAAGAAAGTTCGAGAGAAGTCTCAGATCACCCAGTAGGTAAGGGTTGTCAGCTTTCTACCTAATGTGAACAGCTTGCACACATAAATATACACTGCTATGAAATCCACCAGGTTCCAACCACTGGTAAGAATCAGGATACTTGCCCTGTCCTCCCAGGGGTAACAGATGAATCCTGCTACAAAGCTTAAAAGCAGTCTCAAAAGACAACAGCTATTTCCTTGTTAAAAACATCCTGCTGTCCTCTAGAGCACAGGAAAGATCTACTAAATAAACTGTATTTTTGTCCCTTTTTCTGGCCACGACTATTGCTGTGATTCCTAGAGAACTCCTACAATTCCCTTCCACCTTCATACATGCACTCCTTCCAATCTGCTTATGAGCCCCTCTTACTAAGCAACATATGTATTTATGGTTTAAGTTACCAGAGTAGTCCCCTTGGAATTCTAGCAAGAGAACCACTCATCTGTCAACTCAGGCATCAAAGTAACTTCAATTCATAAGCTCAAGCTAAAGCAAATTTCAGAAGTCATTAGCTCAGAATTTCTATTCTGGTAAATGCCAGAGTTCCTTACAAAAAAAATTAAAAAATCAAAATCTTATCAACAGTAAGTTCAGGATACAAGTAAGTCATGTAGTTTTCCAATCCCTCACCACCTCTTTAGTGAAAGGCATACAAATTGAATATTTGAACAAGCATTTATAAATTTATCTGAAGTCTGTATCTTGCTCTTTTAGTTCCACTTCAATTTTCTTGTCATTAGGCAGCATTTGGCTTTCCCGTTTCAATATACATCACTCATCTATGAAAAATACGCTGTCACTACTGATACTGAAATTCAGAGTGTAGCCTAATGTGAACTAGAAATACAGTACCTACTCAGTGTTTCAGCAGCCAATTATTTCTCCCTTTATAACTTTTAAGGTAACTAAATGCAATATTTAAACTAGCATTTTAACCTGGAAAGGTGCTATTATAAAGTACTTATTATTTATTATTTGATATGATCAATCAGAAATTGAGGGAGTAAGTTGAAATGATAAAAGGAATTTTCTCTGCAATCTACTGTATCAGTTGTATCACATGCATTTTTGCATAGTTGTATTGGGTTTTAGAGCAGAGGGGCTATGGGGTGTCTTCTGTGAGAAGCTGCTAGAAGCTTCCCCATGTCCAACAGAGCCAATGTCAGTGGCTCCAGGACAGACCCAGAGCTGGCCAGGGCTGAGCCAATCAGTGATTGTAATAACACTTCTGTGATAACATATTTAATAAGGAAAAAATGTTATTGCATAGATGTAACTGGGGCCAGAGGAGTGAGAACAACTCTGCGGACACCAAGGTCAGTGGAGAAGGAGGGGAAGGAGGTGCTCCAGGCACCAGACATTCCCCTGCAGCCTGTGGTACAGACCATGGTGAGGCAGCTGTCCCTCTGCAGCCCATGGGGGTCCACAGGAGTGCTGAGATCCACCTACAGTCCATGGAGGAGACCCATGCCAGGGCAGGTCGGTGCCCAAAGAAGGCTATGAAGCCGTGGGCAGCCTGTGCTGGAGCAGGTGCTCCTGTGCTCCTGGCAGGGACCTGCAGACCCATGGAGAGGGGAGCCCACACTAGAGCAGGTTTGCTGGCAGGACTTGGTGACCCCATGGAGCACCTGCACTGGGGCAGGCTCTTCCTAAGGGACTGTACCTTGTGGAAGGGGACCCATGTTGGAGCAGCTCATGAAGAACTGTGGCCTGTGGAAAGGACTCACTCTGGAGAAGCTTGTGGAGAACTGTCCCCCATAGGAGGGACTGCACAGGGGATGGACTTCTCTCCCTGAGCAGCTGCAGAATTAACGTGTGATGAACTGACCATAACCCCCATTCCCTGTCTCTCCGGGAGGAGGAGAAGGTAGAGAATTGGGAATAAAGTTCATCTCAGGAAGGAGGGAGGAGTGGGGGAAAGGTGTTTTAAAGATTTTACTTCTTACTATCCTGCTCTGACTTTGATTGCCAATAAATTCAATTAATTTCCCCCAGTCAAGTCTGTTTTGCCTGTAACGGTAACTGGTGAGTGATCTCTCCCTGCCCTTATCTCCACTCATGTACCTTTCATTATATTGTCTCTCCCCTGGCCAGCTGAGGAGGGGAGTGACAGAGCAGTTTTGGTGGGCACTTGATGTTCAGCCAGGATCAACCCACCACAGTAACACAAAATTTTTAAATTTAACCTAAAATATCTTGTGCTGAGATTCTTGACACCAAAGTAAAACAAAAACTGTAATCATTACTCTGCTCAGCCTGAGGAATTCCATTCAAACAATACCTGTTAATTTCAAATGAAATTGATAAGTAGCTCATCAGGAGCATTGGAAACTGAATAAAAGCCAAAACATATTAAAATATAGCCTAATAAATACATTTTCCAAAAGGGTGGTTAACCATCTTTTACGTGTGGGATAGAGTAACAGCTCTCAGTCTAGTCACGGTAGGTTTCACTCAGAAAAGTTATACTGTCATTATAATTTTGTATTTTATCAGCAAACATGAATTTAGCATGGCATTTATAAATAATTTATACTAATGCAATATTTTAAGGTAAAGTAGTTGTTAACTATTTAAACAGCTGCCTGTCTAGAAATCAAATCCAAGACATAGCAGAGACTCATTGTTAACTGTTACTTACATTGTTATTCTCTTATTTTCTCTCTCTATCAGCAATAGTGTGGCCAGCAGGACAAGCTATACCCTGGAGGTATTTAAAAGACATGCAAAAGTGACACTTAGGGACATGGTTTAGTGGTGGAATTGGCAGTGCTGGGCTAATGGTTGCATTCAATAATCCTAAAGGTCTTTTCTAGGCTAAATGATTCTACGACTCCTTATTTTTCCATGTAAGTAGTAAGTGAACTCTCACAGAGAAGTAAAATTGAAAGATCCTAAGTTCCATAGGAACTGCCAACAAGCCACGTGCTCAGCTGTGTAACACAAGAGACATTCTCTCCTCCCTACTTATCAGTAAGACAAAAAACCCAATTCATAAGTTTTATGTGAAAGGATAAACATCCTTCCTGGTATAATCACATAACTGGGCATCTCCTGCTGATCTCTGGCACCCTATGCATTGTTTTGTTTTGTACCACAGACAGAGCTCCTGTGTATATTCTACTTCCACATGCCCTGTGGAGTCACATTTGAAAGGTTTCCTACAAATACTTGGAGCTTAAAAATAGTACTGCAACTGAACCCAAAACTGGAAAGTTATGGATTAAATTTAAAGAAATTCAACAGTATTCACAAAAAAAGGCCTTTTATTTACCACCACAACATCCAAAGACTCTTTTCCTTCCAGATAGTCCAGACTTTCTTTTGCTAAAAGTTCTAATTTTACGTAGTGAAGAATGATGCAAAACATCTGAAGGTAGGTTTGACTTCAAACCCTTAGAGATCCAGTCACAGGTTTGACTTTAAACACCACTTAGAGATCAAGCCACTGCTATGCTGCTTTGCACAGAGCACCTTGCAGACCCAGCAAGGAACTGTACCAACTTCTCCAACATGTGAATAGCTAAGCAAAAATTCAAGCAGCTTCTTTCTTGCCAACTGGCAGGTGTGCTAGCCTAGGAAAATGCTGCTGGACTACCAGTTGTACTTTGTGAAGAGACACAAATTCTTAATGTGATGAAAGAGTTACCTGCATTAGGAATGAAAACACATGATGCAAACTAAGAGAATGACAAGCTAAACACACAGGACTGAGCTAATCTAAAAATTTTAAAGATGATAGTTTAATAAATTTTACATTTACAACAAAATGTCTCATACACTACAGCTCTTTATTACAGAAAGACTTTTAGATGCTCTTTCAGGAGTCTCTAATTGGCCTCTGCTCACAGATCTTCAACAATTTACAAAAGATAAACTGAAATCTAGGAAGTGCAGAAAAAAAACTCTTTCATCTTCAATGCCAGTATAGATAAAAAATGCTGATTTATAACCAGGAGTTTCCTCGCAGCAGCTGGCTGACCATACACTTTGGACTCACCCATAAGGAAAAACAACAACAGAGGAAGATGTGACCTCCTGTAAGGTCAGCAGTGCATAGGCAGTTACCTTAGAGAATGGGAGTTTTCTTCAGATTACAAAAGGATCATTTAAAAAAAAAAACATTACAAGAAGTGGACTTCGGAGATTTTCTTTAACAGAGCTTTCCAAGTCTGAACCAAATTTAACTGTACACAGCAATAAACAGCCTCTATGCCACTGAAGATCAAGGTAACCCTTCAGGCCAAGCACTTCTCTTTTCTGATAACACCACTACAATTGGTAAATTTAAAAAAAAAAAAACCACAAAAAAAAACCCACAAAAAAAAACAAGAAGTACTTCAGAAAAGAACAAACTGATAAGAAAATCTGGAGAAAAACCCACAATATTCATAACTGGAGAAGGCCCAAAGACAATCTATTACTTCTTCCTGAACTAGCAGACAAAACAGAGTACCAGACTGCACAGAAGAAGAGCAAAGAACTTAAAATTCTAATGCCTAATACAGTACACCACCTTCACTAGGAGCAAAGGATAAACACTGCCATTCCAGAAACACTTCTTATAATTAGTGTTTATTGAACACACATTGCTGCTACCAAAAAAACCCCAACTGCTGCTATAATCAGATCAGGTGGAAATACAGAAAAATCTATAAAACCTCTCTGAGAAAAGGAAGGCTGAAGAAGAATACTTCTCTTTTCTGGAGTAAACAGAGCATGGACTCCAAACTTAAATAAAATTCACCACATTTGCCAGAGGAGGAAACTGACTACAAAGCAAAACTTCCAAAGCCTTAGAAGAGGCAGGAAACCCCTGAGTACCATGCTGAGGAAATACTGGCAATATTCGAGGCCAAAGTATTCATTTGCATAACAAGTACAAAACATCTGAACAGCAAGCACAAGCTTTGAACTAAGCACTAACTCACTGAAGTAGTTCTAAGAGTAATTTGTACATACTGGCTATATAGTAACGCCAGAAACACTGAGATGAGGCTTCAGTATGCAAACTGCTTTATTTGTACTTTTCATGAATAGTTGGATAGGTTCAACTTTAAGGAATCATATATAAGTGGGGCAAAAGCCAAAAACCTGAATTTAGGAGTTGTACAGCTCAAGAATTGTTTCCAGAGTCCAATGCACATCTGTGCACTTCCTACTGCCAGTAACACATTCACAAGCACTTTCTGCCAGGAAGCAAACCAGGAATGCTGCTTTGTTCCTTCACATACTAATGCCTAGCATGGCTTAAGCTGACAGCTGTGTTATGTCTATGTTACTGGGAGTTCAATCCAGCAAACTGGAAGGTTTGCTACCTCTAGAAAGGCTTTTAGAGTTGCTGTGTTGATCACAGCACTAATACATTCCCATCAGCAACAGATGACAGACTTCTAATAACATGTCTGAGGAAATTTTCTGAACACAACTCAACTACATTTAGGGAAGAAGGGATTATCTTCTTCACATTATGCTACTTGGGGGCTAAAGGAAAAGTGCTTGCAAGACTATCTGTATTTTCCACAAAGAATTTTACAAAGATTTTTCTCTATTTGTAGCATTTCAGAAAAATAAAAAATGAACAGCCAATTACCACTAACTTACAGGACAAACCAATATTTATTAATTAGAATTTTACACTTCACCCTAATTATTGGGCAAGACAGTTATAAAAAGTTCATTAGAAGGGAAGTTTAAGCTTATAAAACACTGCATTTAAAACAACATATAAGAATCTTCAACACACCAAACACTAAATAAAACATGTCCAAAAGAGACAAAGTGCAACCCATGCAATATTTTTCTTCTGCTTTTAAATTAACTCAAACTTAGCATAACCTCCTTTTGGTGATGTAGTAATGCAGACTGAGTCACTTTTCATGGTATGGAGGAGCAGAAAGCAATGACAGCAGCAAAGGCAGGCCTTGCAGTCTATCTGCTTAAAATTCACACCCTTTCACCTTGCATGTGTGTGGAAGAAGTAAGTGGAACAGAAAATCACTTCCACCTGGACCACTGCTTCTCTTTATCTGTTAAAGGCACATATATCACTCCCATCAGAGGCTTCATTTTGACACTGCCATCTTCTAGTTTGTCATACTGTTCGAGCATCTGGTTTCCCCCAGCAGGGCCAACTGGTAATATCAATCTTCCGCCAGGTTTTAACTGGTCTATAAGCTAGAACACAACACAGAAATTAGAATGTAACCAGCCACTCCAGAGAAGCTGGATCCAAAGTTTGTTACAGTAGATTAATAGCTTTGCCATAATATATCTATCTACTTTTATGCAGTAGATAACTGCTGCCATTAGGAAAAATAAAAAATGCACTGAAAATGAGAGTATCACAGCAACACGGTACAACAACTGGTATTACAGAAACATTCACAGGAACTTCATGTAATTCCAAATGAAGGCAAAATATTGATTTAGTTAGCTGAGTTGGTTGCAGTTTTATTTTCTATACAGGGGAAGAAAAACATAATCACAAATTATTTTTACAGCCGATTCAATCCTTTTAAACTGTTTAACTGTTTGATAGTTATTGTGCATCAGTACAGGCCCATTGTCTAAAATTTTAGGGGCAACTGATCTCCCCTTAAGCCCTCAGAATAAGATTTGAGTGATGTTTTTTATTATTTCTCTTCCTAGAATCATTTTAAGTTGCCTGTAACACATTCACTATGAAACAGCTCCTCTTTCATTCTGGGAATGGAACAGCACTTTATGAAACTAGTCTATAATATATGAATATGAGTAAGATAAGTGTCAAGTAAATGGAGTATGTGAGAAATGCTTGGATTTTTTTGTTTTCATAATTGAAGGAATCTAATCACAGTAATCTCAAGGAAAATTCCAGACTTCCCAGATGTCATGAAAAAACTTAAATCCCCACTGCTAACAAAAGTCATAATTAAGAGTTGCTTCATTCACTAATAAGCTTTCGATTATTTTTTTAATTGTTATCTGTCAACACCTTGCTGGGAACACCTCCCTGCACACCCACACAAAACAAAAATAAAAACCAAGAACCAAAAAAACCCCAACAACCCCAAAAAACAAACACTCTCCTTCCTCCCCAACACCCAACCAAACCAAAAAACCCTATCACTGGTCACTGCCTGGAAATGTCCAATCTGTCTACAGCACCTCAAACCTCCAGTCCTTCACTATCCATCAAGATTTAAAAAACCTTAACTGGTATCTAGCATATCAAAATCAGGCTATTACATTCCATTTGCTTGATGAAAGGAAGAGGAAAAAAAAAATCTTATCTGCAAGAATGGACTTCATGTATGCACACTCTAAAGTCCCTAATGACTCTTCAGGCTCTCTAGTAAGAACAGCCCTGTATCCACTCTGAAAGCTATGAGCACATGGCACTGTTAGTATTTCCAGCTGAGTGTGTTACCTTCTCAACAGGCTCAATGCCTTGGAACCTAGGAAACCAAAACTTAAATTTTGTAATTATCTTATTAAATGAAATTCTCCAGTTCGCTGTTGTAATAGAGGGTTGCACACATGTAATTTTAAAATCTGTTTATTTAGAGCAGAGGGATTAGAACATACAGCTTTTGCAAACCAACAGGAAGCCCAATTATAACAGAGACAAACCCCCCACACCATACAGTGATACCACACTGCCCACTGATACTCCCAGCAGTGCAAGTCTACAAGTATTTTACACTTTTGAAAAGAGGTCAGATGGTTAAGCAGGAGAGTTTTAGAGCTTGAGAGCAAAGTTGCCCAACATTCACCACTAGAATGAGAATGTCACATGAAAAGATATATATAATATATATATATATATGCAAAGCTTTCTTTACAGCTAAGAGATCACAGAAACACACACATAAAACATAAAGGCTTACTGCTTGGGGCACGACTGGTGCTGCAGCTCCTACATGAATCGCGTCATAGGGAGCTTCTTCCGCATATCCCATTCGTCCATCTCCCACTGCAAGAAAACACTTTTTGGTTTTTAAACATTTTCCAAAGGAGTGAAGTAAACAGCTGATTTTCCATATCTCTAGATAGATAAAAAGCTATACTCAGGTTTCAACTAAAGTTTTGCTGTGCAGTAACAACATGCAGTCAGTTAAAAAAATTAACACATTTTGTAAAACAGATGCAATGAAACACCCTCAGACATGCATACACATGCTTATAAAGGATATTAAATACTGCTGAAGCACCTGAAACAGAAAGCACAGATTTAAAAATCAAAGTTCTTGGAGACACATAGTTCACCCTATTCACTGGTTGGAATGAAAGCCCAAGCCTTCACATATACATTACTGCAGTAGTGCACCAACCTCCACACACCACACCTCTGCCAGTACCTGGGCTTTGCTGTTCTTCCTGCAGACAATTGCTGAACTAACACAGGTAGCCAGGTCAGACCTTTGGCTAAAGCTCCAGGTGGCTGCTTGGAAGATGTTAGGAGTAATTAAGTTATTCAGAGGGTTAACAATACAACTTCAGCTTTGGTGGACAGCTCATGGAGAGGCATCTTATCAGATGCCTCATACCATCCCAGTTATGGAGAAGAGTAACAGCTTGGGCTTTTTAAGCTACTGAAAAGTGGCAAACTAAACTAGACCCTGAGCTAGTTTTTGAAAGATGATGACATGAATGTGGCATCCACTGTATCTACAGGAAACCAATGGGAGATTCAGAGCAAGTTAGGCAGGCTCTCTCTGGAGTTATTTAGGAATAGAAGTAGTAAATGAGGCTGACCCATCCATAAAGTCATACTCTGTGACTGCAGAAGTCCCAGTAACGAGTCAAGAAGAAAATGGGTAGAGGTTAAGGAGCATAGTCTTCTGCTCAGCAGAAGTAGTTGTGCCCGTCTTCAGGCTGGGCTTCGACTTCTGTGCAATCACTAATATCACAGACTAATTAAAACACTGAGTCAAAAGAAGTTCTAAGGCTCAGTCAGAGGCTGAAAATTTGTCAACTTTTTGCCTTCCAATGACTCACAAAGCAGAAAAATACATGGCTGCCACAGCAGGATTAATTTTGACCTCAGTGATAGGGAGGGCCATCTGGAGAGTAGTAACACACTTAAGTATCCAAGAGGACTACAAGAAGAGAGCGTATTTCCTCAGTACCTGAGAAGCCTCTTACAGCTCAGTGACACATTTCCTCTTATCATCAATTCTGACCAGCAAAAGCTCCAACCAAGGGCCACAAGCAGAATCTGCCAAGCAAGAACTAGAAATGCTTCAAGAGAACTCATCACTATCAACCATCATTTCCACTAAGTCAGCTGGCAACACATATTGACAGTAATGAAAGTTCCAGTATCCCTCTGACTGCCAAAGTGGGTTCTACTGGAACAACCACCTCAATGCAGTCACGTATATAATTTATACTTTGGAAGGCTCTACAGAGAGACCTGGACAGAGTCAATCAATGGGCTGAGGACAACTGCATGAGGTTCAATCAGGCAAAGTGCCAGGTCCTGCACCTGGGTGACACAACCCCATCCAGAACTACAGGCTGGGGGAGGAGTGTCTCAAGTGGTTTTCACCTGAAAGAGACCTGGGGGTGCTGGTCAACAGCTGGCTGAAAATGAGCCAGTATTGTGCCCAGGTGGAGAAGAAGGGCAATGACCTGTATCAAGAATAGTGTGGCCAGCAGGACTAGGGAAGTGATCAACCCCCTGTACTCAGCACTGGTGAGGCCACACGTCAAGTACTGTGTACAGTTTTGGGCCCCACACTTTAAAAAGGACATTGAGGCACTGGAGTGAATCCAGAGAAGGGTGACAAGGCTTGTAAAAGGTCTAGAAAAGACATCTTGTGAGGAACAGCTGAGGGAGTTGGGTTTGTTTGGTCTCAAGAGGCAGCTCAGGGGTGACCTCATTGCTCTCTACAACTACCTGAGGTGGGGCTGCAGAGAAGTGGGAGATGATCTGCCATGCCTGCAGTGAGAGGACTAGAGCAAATGGCCTTAAGATGAGACGGGGGAGATTCAGATTGGATATTAGAGAAAAAAAAATAAATTCACTGTCAGGGTGGTCAGGCATTGGAATAGGTTGCCCAGGGAAGTGAAGTGGTGGAGTCATCATCCAAGGAGGTGTTTAAGAGATGTCTGGATCTGGTGCTGGGTGATATGGTTTAGGGCTTACAGTGCTAGTGCTGAGTGGATGATTGGACATTATGATCTTACAGGTCTCTTTCAACCTTGATGATTCTATACTTATATATCTTAGTAGCACTGTACATCTCTAAAGAAGAAGCAATGACATGCTACTGTATCAAGTTGCTGTTCCAACAGAGAAGGCAATGGAGAAAGACTTCTTTAGCTTAAACACAGACAGTGCTTTGAATGATATCAGTTACACAGGGAGGCAGAGCCTCCTCCCCAAGATGCAGCAGCAAGCATTAGAAGCAGTGATCTCCAGTACTTCTGGCAAAAGAAGAGACTGCCGAATTGAAGAAACAGCTGTGAAAGAAACTGCTAAACTGAGTTCTGAAGAAGAATGCACATATTCTGAGACATAAATGTACCTTGCGCACTGTCCAGAGAAGTCTGAATGTGACTCTTGCACATCTTATCACTTCACTGACAGCAGTAAAAGGAACCCAAAACATCTAAACCCTTTGTTCTTGGAGTCAATAGCCCAAACAATAGCTAACATCTTCAGAATCAGCACACACCCACCAAAGTAAAAAAAAACCAAACCAACAACAACATTCTCCCTTACATGCATCAAGCACAGTATGGCTCTTCTCTTTTAAGATCCACAAAAACTCTCATGGCCACAGCAGTCAGATGCCCACACTGGGAGCACACTTTCAGATATCCCTAAGATTTTAAAAAACAGTTAAGTTGGCGTTCATATATTCAATGTGATACAACTGAATATATTACTCAGTGCCCTGGGAGAAGAGCAGCCCAATTTGCAGCTTGTGCTTACATCTGTATCTCCAGTTACATGCAGCCTGTTAGTGAAGTAATCACAGTAGTGGGTGGCAGGTGCTGATGAGGGGGGATGCATCAGGACCTTCTGACATAAAAGGGTTTTGTAGCTTGTTTATGAACCTATACCTGATCTGCTGATCACAATACTCAAGCCTTCAGTGTCTCTGTGCAGACCTGCTTCACACAGTTGTAGCATGAACACAAACAGAAGAAAACAACTTCACTGTGGGCAGATCACCCTCATCCCCGCTGGCTATGTCTGTGTCAGCAAATAGTGCAGTACAATAGAAGCAGATCTGTACAGCTAAAGTTTTTGCTGAGAACCTGATGTCCACACAACACAGGCATTTGAGGATGATGGCTTTGGTCTAGATCTAGCCTTACTGGCTTAATATCCAGTAACATATCAAGCATATTTGGTTGCTTCCTGGGAGCACATAATCTTGTCTAGTTTCATCCAAAAGGAATCAAGGCTTGTGCTCTCCAGAGCACCCTCATGTGAGCCAAAGTGTGGTAAGCAGAAGCACTTCAGAGATTCACCTCAAAGGCTTCCTCCTGATATTAAGAGAAAACAAAAAACAAGCCACACACACAATAAAAAAAAAAGGAAAAAAAAAAGCCAAGAAAAAAAAGCCAGAACAGGCAAAAACTAACACAGACATGTTAGTCTAAGTATACCTATTCCAAAGGTCCTAGTACAGTTCAGTTACTGAGACACTCCAAAATCATTTTGATGGTTCTGAAATGCACTTAATGCATATCTGAGGTGTGACAAAGCAATGGCAAACACCTGAAGCATACTTGTGAAAAGTCAGCACTGGTGCACCTAGGCTTAATTCAGACAGTTCCCAGCATCAGTCAACCCTAGGTCTTCACCAGTTCTTTTGTTCCTGTGTTTGGGACGGGGGTGTTCGGTGGGTTTTTTGTTGCTGCTTTGTTTTAAAAAACAGCTGTCTGGATTCTTCCTCCATATCAAAGAGCTCTCAGGAATCCTGCACAGTTGAACCATTCTTCTTCACCTAATTCACAGAAGTGCTACTTGTCCACCTGTACTTTTTTTAAAGGTACTTCACAACAAAACTATTCACAAGTCTTAGTAATCCTGGTCTGTGGTCAAAGATAATATAGATGATGATGTTTACTTAGAATTCTAGACTCCCAAGAGCATCAGAGTTTGTTCCAGGTACAACCAGAAGCCTAAGTCAAAATTGTTTTTGCACAGCAACAATAGAAATTATCCCCCCCTTCCCCCTCTCCAGCCCTAACAGTCAAACTTCTTTTCCAAGAAGTTTTAAGGCATAAGTGTTCTCAGTGAGGGACACTGCAATTTATACATGTGTATGTGTTGATCAGCTTATTTAAAAGAATATATAGAAACATCCCTCATTTGCAAAAAAAAAGACCAAGCATCAAAATGGTAATTAAGGTAAGAGCCAAACATCACATAATAACAATTTTTCCAACTGCTCTTGTAAGAAGCCTCAATCCTGCCAGCCTTGCATCTTCTAAAAAAAATCGTAACAAAAATCTTTTTCTTTTTAGTAAAAAAGCCCATTATTTAAAACAATTCTTTGTCCTTATATCATTTTAGCATAATTTCCTCTCAGTAACTGTGACTGAATTAATGTTATTTGGTGTCTGTTAATCCCTTCCCTAACATACAAATCCTGTTTATTTTAAAAACAAGTGTAACAAACTTCAGTGACGCCAACCTAGTGCCTTTACTGTATCAGAGGCATTGAAGGCTTTGTTAAAACACTCAAATTTAGATGACAGAACATTTATTCAAGAAAAGTTGTGAATTCAACCCCAGTTTTATATAGCGAATGTAATATAACAGACCTTCAGCATGTAAAGTATTTTCATCAAAAAACATCTCCCTGCTAAGCTTTTCTAGCAGAATGATTACATATTCTTTAAGATTACCAGAAGTCATATCCTCAAAACTGGGTGATGATGTCATTTTTTCCAAGTCCTAAAGACAACTTGGATTTTAAAATGTTCATTTAGCTCTTCTTTCTTTAGTTTAACTTCTCAAATTAGAACTTTTAATCACATCCAATTCAGTCATTTTCAAACAGCTGCTAGAAAGAATATCAGTTTAATTAGTAAGTATATCAGTCTCATGCTCACCAATCAGTTTCACTCTTCCTGACGACAGCAATGTGGGATCATCTTTTTTGACATTATTTATTGAGTCATCTACTAGTTCTTTGATATGATCAATTCCTACAACTTGTCCTTTGGGACCAACCTGGAATAAAAATATACAGTTGAACAATTTCTACTAGTTTTGATTTATGTATGAATAAGTATCTGTATGTCCTGGGCCCATTTCTCTAAAATAAAAACAAAAACAGAAAAGTGGAAGTATATTTTCCCAATGTTATTAAAACTACAGCTTGGAATGACACATCCTGACTGACAGAAGCACCTGGTAATCAATGTTTGCCAGCACAGTCTTAAAAATGCTTATTACAGTCATCTTTGTGGGATGTGATTCAGTTGATTTATAGTACTAGTGGAGATTTCTTCTCTGAATTTGTAGAAATTAAGTATGATCACAATTGTTTTAATTACCTGCAATAGAAAGTAACAACTTCAAAGACAAAGACCAGAACTAATTCCACACTGAATAAACTTAGTTAAATATTAAGGTTTTTCTAGAGAAGACCTTATTCCAGGATTGAGTCATGCCTTTTATTCCAAGTTACCTCAGGAGTCCTATTCTTTCAGAAGCAAATGCAGCAATTAACAGTCAGGGACAAATTACCTTCTGCCCTTCCTTGCATTCATGAATCTACTTTCAGATTTACAGCTCTCCTCCACAGGGAAGAATGGAACTTCTGAGAGCTCGTAACTCAAAAAAGGTCACCAAATGTCTATGTATTCTGAGGGGAAAAAAGGTCTATCCTCAAAAACTTCTCCATTACAGGTATTTCTTCTAGAACTGTGTATTTAGTCCAGAAAAATTATTCAAGAAGAATCCAAATCCTCAAAAATCTGACCCCTCTTAACAGGATCCATCTCAAAGAACACAACAGTAGAGTATGTCCTAGCAGCCCATGTTATCATATAACTTTGTCTTTGGACACAATACCATGGGGATTATTTTTTTTTTTTTACTATGAACAAGTCCTATGTTCCAAACATCAAAAGAGCACTGTTAGCTTTTCTTTTGCAAGAGGAAGATCACCAGTCCAGGCCTTAAAATAGAACATAGCAATTTTTCACTATGA